TTACTTGAGATTGGATGATAATTTTTTTCTCAACGTAAGCAAAAAACCTGTCGAGTGCAAATCCGCAGTTTTTAAAACATTGAATGGATTGTTTCTGTTCAAGAGCTTATATTCTCTCTGTGATTTCTGGGTAGATTCTAGGGTTTATATTTGGGAGCTGATAATAAACCAGAGGACTGTTTTCGTTTTTCTCTTTTGGGTATTTTCGTTGGTGAGGTTTCCTGATTTAGGGTTAGGATCAATTTCTGTAATTCTATTTTTTCTTTCATCCGAGGAAGATAAAGATGTATGCTGATAGATTGGAGGCTGATTCTAAAAGCAGGCAGATGGTAAAGGATCGTCTCAATGGCGGTTCTAGCGACATCTCTAGTCGCGTACGACAAGTGACTGGGAAGAGGTTCTAATTTTATCTCCCTCTTTGTTATGTTTTGATTTTGCTGTCCAGATTTAACTTGTTTTACTCGAGGATTCTTCAGTGTTACTTGGTCTCTATAGCTACATTAGGATTTTCATCAGCAGCCCAAGCTGATTCTTGCTTAGCTCTGTGAATTTTGAGTATGTAAATCCCCTCTTTTGTTTAGCTTAGGAGGATTTTTCTGACTCTCTGATGTGCCCATTTTGATTTTGGTTAATTGTTATCATTGAATTTTTAAAATAGTTCAACATTATAAGCCTTTCTACTTTGAGTCCCTACCTGCTTAGTTATATCTGGAGGTATTGTTTGTCCCTCTGATTGTGTTTTTTGTGATGGGTTTTTGGACTTGATATCTGGTCATTGGATCTCTGTGTGATGAACTATGTTTGTCTTTATGATGGAGATTATTTTATGTTCTTCTCCTTCTGTAGTCTTGATTGTTTGAGTGTGTATCATATTTTTCTTCTTTCTCATGCTTTCAGGCAAAGGCAGGACGACAAATGGGAGCATGATCTTTTCGATAGTGACAAACCGAAACTTTCAAGTATGTTTTTTTCTCACCTATGTTTAGTATGACAAAAGTATCTCTGTTTGGTTGTTGATTCTCTGTCTGATGGCTTACTAAGATCGCAGAGTTGATCCTAGAGATCTTCGCCTGAAGCTCCAGAAGAGACATCATGGGTCTCAAAGTGGGCGAGAAGCTGGTTCAGGCGTGCGGGATTTACGGGAAAAGCTCTCTGGGACAATGAATCTGCAACCAAAAAACAGTGACCCGCCAAAATCTAAAGTGGAGGCTGCTAGACCAACCATGAAGAGCGTAGCAACTGAAACTGCAACAGAGACTAGAAAAACTTCCAATCAAGCTACCAGGAAGAAATCACAGCAGGCAATATGATTCACTGTTCTTCAATTATTTTTCTATCATACTTAAACACGTTTGGAGAAAGCCATATTATTGGACACAGCTTGCAATGCCTCTTCCATTGTATGGATGCCATCCACTACTGTTTCTTAGCTTGTCATCTTTTGGTTCAGGCTGGTGGATCAGTTGATAGCTTTCTGGAATCATTGGGTCTCGAGAAATATTCGACCGCTTTTCAAGTGGAAGAGGTATGTAGCATCTGCTGTTAGGTTTATGTTATTGATGTCATCCTTTCACAGACACATGTTCTCAATAGTTTCTGTCTTTCCCAGGTCGATATGGATGCTCTCATGCATATGACAGATGATGACCTCAAGGCTATGCTCATACCGATGGTAAGCTCCATGTTAAACTCCCACAACATTTACTTCAATTCTGCTTTATATCAGACTACAGATTCTGGATGAAAGCCATTTTCTCAGTTTTATTTGATCTGTAACACGAAAAAATATTGATAAAACTACATTCATGCTCTTTGTTCAACATTGTTATGCTCTCTTTTCACAAGCTGTGTTTTTGTTTCAGGGCCCAAGGAAGAAGATACTTCTTGCTTTGGGATCTAAACGCTAATAGTTCAGTGTCTTTTACATGATGGCTTCAAGCTCAGCTGAACGGTCTCCGGGAGTCTGATACATTAAGCTATTGTCGAAATGATTCCAGATTTGGCTTTTCTTTTTTCGTATTTTGATTGTATCTGCCCATTTCAAGAGGTTAGAATTTTGGGGTTAGACATCTGTAATCTTAAACATAGTGAAACAAACACTGCCCGTTTGGACCACTTCTGATGTGATGAAGGCTTTAAGATTAAAACACAAAAAAGAAGCTTAAGAAAACTCAGAAAGCTAATTCGCCGCTGGAAATCTAAACTTTCTTCCACAATACAGTGTTGTTGCGTAATTTTGTATTCAAGCAACCCAAAACTTAGAAGTTACATAGAATCTCTAAATACACAGAAGTGTTGCTTTAGTGTTCAAAGTGACGACAGAGTCCTAGGCCGTCTTCTTTCTGGTTAGCCATGTCAAGTACTTCGCCTTCTCTTGTTTGTATCTTCTCCACTCTCGCCATGCTGCAAGGAAAACATGTCCTAACACAGGCAGGAAAAATGGCTGTCCAAGAAAGTATATTCAGATGAGACTTAGAGAAACAAGAAGATGCTAATAATAATGGTAACAGTAGTAGAGACATTGAAACTAACCGAGTACACTGCAAAGCAATGTTCGTAAGAGAAGTAGCTGACCGACATGATGGATGGATGGAAGAAGGCGTCCTCGGCTAGGGACCTTGCTTTTCTTGATGAACCTTTATGGAAAAGCCGCAACTTCTTATTATATTCACCAACATTAAGGTGTACATAACAGAGAGTATTTTGAGTATAGGTTAAGTGTAACATACTGGCTGAATAACTGTATCCTCCCAGTGAAGCATTAGATTGAGCCAACTTTGCTGCTTTCAGAGAGTATTTCACCTGGTTTGGAGGGGAAACAATGGAATGATCAGAACAGATAAGTTTTCCGGGAAAAGGTTCTAGATGAGGAACATACTTGTTCTCCAATTTCATCCTTGATTATCATCCTGGGGAGTGACTGAACCTGCAAATGCCAAGTGATGAAGATTAGAAAAAATGAAAACAAAACACCAAAATGCAGCGTAGAATGCCCAAAACCAAGCACGTGGAGATAATCACACACCAATCTAGAGAGAGAACCGAGGGTTGTTGAACAAGAGTGGAGATTGAAACACGTGTGTTTCCGTGACAAGACATCCAATTCCCTGCAAATGACACCAAGAAAGAAAACACTCATCAATATCCATTACTCATTAGCATCCCTTGCTTTCAGGTGAGACCTTATTGGTCGATAAGCATCAGGGACAGGAGAGAAGACTCAAGCCTACAGATATATAACATCAGTTCTGGGATTTATCACATTCTTACCACTCTGTAAAGCCTTTTTTGCTAGGTAAAATCTGGTAAGCTCCCAATCCACTGGTATAAATGGCTTCAGACTTAAAGCCAAAAAGTTGTCGGAATTGCCCCAAGAAAACTTCAACTATTTGCTCAAGATCCTGTTGCAGAAAAAGCAAAAAGAATGATGCTTCAGTGATCCTTTATGGCTCTCCAAACGCAATACAAATATGCAAAATGACAATCAATACATAGTTGGTTTAAAGCATATAATTAATAGGAAAAGTGAACCGAACCTGAGGCGAGATTGTGTTCCTACTTGGGCTTCCAGAGTCCTTGTCACAATTTCTAGGGTTCCATACAATCACACCGCCCCACATCTATATAACAAAAGGACAAGATGAATTTCTTTTCACATAGTGTCAACCAAAAGATTAAGAGCAGGAAAGAAAATGTTGATGTGTGGCAACTAACTGGTGATATGAAGCCATTTGTTTTAGATATCTCTCCATTTGGTAACTGCAAGTGCAGAGGGCATTCTTTTCCGGATGGAATATATCTGACAATATGAGGAAAGAACATAGAATTGAGATATTTCTGTGCAAACGTTCCTGCTCAGTTTATCAGGAATATGTATGGTATAATCACAGCATCAAGCGACAGATAGAAATCTATAGGCATGATCCTGCAATAAGAGTAGCATAAAAAGCAAGCATGGACAGAGTAGAATAATATACACCACAAATTGCAATATCTTGGACCGTCCACTGGCTCCAGCAGAAGTATCCAAATGCCATTCATTCGAGTTCACCTGGCAAAACCATTTAAGATAATCTGTTAAACAACCAGTTATATACATATATCCAAATTAGTCATGGGATTTTGAGAAAAGGTGCGTACAAAGAAGGGAAGGTCACTTGTCCTGAAGATGTAGCTCTGAAGTTTTTCATCCCATGATGAAAACGAAGACTTGGGCGTATGATACAAAACCTAAGAACAAAGAAAACATAAAACAGCGGCTCGAGAGAATAATGTAGATGCTAAAGATTAGGGTCGGATGATGAATGCTACCTGACTTTCAACACTTATATTAGCTATAGGTGCTAAGGCCTTAGTCACCGGAGCCAAAAATGACTCGTCTATCCTCTGAAAGTCCCTGTCAACGTAGCACACAGATAACAAGTCACAGGCAAGTACTGAAACAAATCCGAAAGAAATGATGAAGAACATTTGACCCAAACTGAACTAGGTAAACAACAAAACGATAGAAGAATGGCAGTGCAAGAAATTCAATATAAGAAAATGGTGAGAAAGCATAACACTTTGATCATACCAATCATAGACCCAATCACGAGGATTAGAATTTAATAGACTGAAAGAAAGAACAATCCTCCCATCTGATCCCACAGGCATAAACTCCCCATGAATTGAGTCTTCTTCTCTTCCACCATTCATAAACACCTTCACAAAAATCTCAGAAACTCTAGCAACAACATCTCCATATCTCTCTTCCAATCCATTCCCCACAATCCACGCATGCCTTCGCTTACCCACAACAGCTTTTACCTCATCTTTCCCATCGGCATTTTCTCTATTCACCACAAAAACACTGTACAGTTTCCCACTGTCCCCAGAACAGCCACTGAACACATCATTCAGTGACTCATCCACTGAATCTTCCAATCCAACACCAAGAACATTTCTTTTGATCACTCCACAACGATAAGAGCAAGTAGAAGGATCACTTGCAAGGGCTTTTGAGCAGTGGTCGTCTGGGTTTTGAACTGTGACAGAGAGGGAGAAATTGCAAGAACCACACTGTGAACTTTGATGGGTCAACTGATTTATACCATCTTGTATCTCAGATCGAAATTTATCCGGATCCGTCGATCGGAAACCGACGAATACAGCGTGGAAACTACAGGGGAAACGCAAAGGCGTCGACTCAATTTGATCTGAAAGCGAGTCGATATCGTTGAACGGTAACGGAGAGCGATATATCTCCACTGACTTCCATAGAAATAGCAGACCTGAAACCTCCGAAATCAGAATCAGATAAGAAAAATCAAATACTCGAAAAGAACTCCAAAACAATACCTAAAAGGAATGAAGACAACACAATGGCAGTGATGAAGAGGCGCTTCAAGCCAGGTTTTGAAGAGCGCATGGTCTTCGGATCAAACTCCGGCATGAGTCCCGAAGTGTCAGTCGTCGGATTCAGACGATCGGAGGTTTCTTCCATCGACTTCACGGGAGAGTTGAAGACGCCACACACAACACTTGTGCCGATTTTGTCATTTCGTAGGGATTTATGGTTATTATAGTAACAGTCTAATAAAGTGTTCAATAGCCGTCTTAGCTCAGTGGTAGAGCGCGTGACTTTTAATCCCGTGGTCAAGGGTTCGATCCCCTTAGACGGCGAGTGTCTCTTTTTATTCCAAATCTTTTTCGTTCTTTTACACAGCAGCTATGCTCAAATTACAAGGCTTTTAAAATGTTCAGGTGGCTTTTTGTTGAAGGTAAAAGCTATAATTTGTCATCAATGTTAACATTTTTAAACCAAGAAATGTTACCTACAAACACCATTTCTGCATAAAAACCTATTAGGAGCCATAAGCCATTCGTTACAAACACTCTAATACACCAATTAAAAGGCTCTGAAGAATATAGCCTAAGAATCAATCTTGTATCATTTCATGTTTTTGGTTCCAACCAAAATCTGGCTTTGGAGAGTCTGGTTGTCTTCTAGCAATCTGTCATACTCCAACAATAGCTCTGAAGACTGTTTCTGAAGAGCTGTAACATGGGCTTCGGCTGTTTCGAGCTTCGTTTCTTTCTCTTTAGCTTCCTTCTCTATTTTCTTCAGATTCTCTGAAACAAATGAAAGGTTCTCTCTCAGCTGCTTAATTTCCTTGGATGTCTTCTCTTCTTTCTCCTTCAGTTCGATTCTCTCCTTCCTAAGTTGTTCGTGTTCTCCTTTTGATGACCCGACAGTGCTTCTTAAAGTGATTAGCTTTTCGAGGTAATGGTGTGTCCGGTCAATTATGAAGCCGAAAAACAGCACAACACCTGCAAGATCATGAGGTCTAAGTTTAAGCATCATCAGAACGAGTTTCACTTTTCTTTCAAAATCCAGAGGAAGATCCCAAATTTGGTGAACAAAAAGCATAGTCAGTACCAAACATAACTATGGACTCATTGGAATGGAAACAATCATAGAGATCTTCCTTGCCAAAGAAATGTCTCACGCAAATCATCAGTTACATGCTTATGGATCTAAGATTCCTACAGATTGTTCTCTAAGTTTTCCCGCTCACTAGATCACAACAATTGAAGCTGATGTTTGCTTCTATTCATATCACCTTCCAGCTATAACTGAAGCAAAATTAGCAAACAAGAGAACATAAAAAGACTTCAACTTTCTTTCAGAAGCCACTTCTAATACGTAAGCTAAGAGCAAGAACTAAAGTGTGGAAATTCTCACAAAATTTCTTTCTAGAGCACAACTACAAAGAGATTCATTCATACAAAAGGAAACAAAGAGAGGAAACAAAAACAAAAACTGACCCATTAGAGAAGCCTCAAGCAAGTGGGTTCTCCAGAGAACCTGATCCATAGGAGACATTGTCCCAAGTTTCGCACCCTTGTTCTGGATCTTGATAATATTCATAAGATTCGACAAGAGGATCACAGACATAGTTCCAGCTATAGTTTTCACAGTAGCAGGACCTTTCCCCATTTTAAGCTGGTCTAAGCTTTTCATGACAAGCTCCCTTAAAGGACCAATCTTCACCAGTAGTAAGAACGCGATCGCACCTTCTACAAAGAGAACCAAAAACAGTAGCTGAATCATGTCTGATTTCCCCCCTTGCCCACCAAAAGGTAAAGTTGGTGCCTTTATCTCAAAATTCACGCCCAATGTAAAAACCCTAAATTCTTCTCGTCCTCAACATCTTTGGAGCTGAAAACCAAAACCCAGATCGGCAAAACGCTTAAACGAAGACACAATTGAGAGCTCACTATTTGCTTTTCCACGAATTCAGCTGTTAAATCTTTGAGACAACCAAGTAAATCATGAAATTGAGAGGAGTATGAGGAGAGAAAAAAAGACGATTGTTTTCGCAGCAGAGAAGAAACAAGGCAGAGCAAAGGATGTGTACATAAAGGAGGCCAGAAGCGAGTTCAGAGAGTACGAAGTGTTTGTTTTTTGTTTTAACTTTTAGGGAGGTGGATGATCAGTGACATAAAAACTGGACCATATGGTTTAGTAGAAAAAACAATCATGCAAAATGTATGACCACCCTTGGAAAAGAAAACTATAATACCAACATTACCATAATCATAATTCAAGAGTATAATTTTTCATAAACCGCTTGTTTATGGTAGGTTGAAGATAGTAGCATATATTTTGGTTCCTATGATATCAATGTGCTCCCATTTCATCGAATCTGCACATAGCAAAAATTTGGAGTAGAACAATCAACAAAGTTAACGCCACTAAAATTAGAACTAGCAAGACGGGCTTAAGTGATATGCGCTCTGTGAATATCTACTCGTTGAATATAAAATAACGAGAAGGAAGAAACACAGTCTTCTGATCCGTGCGAAAAGAGTTTGGATTGAAACTGACTATAGTTTTAGAGAGTGTATCAAGACCGCACCATCGCAACTTTGACTACTATGTAACATACTTATTTAGTACAGTATATACTATTTCAGCATCCGAGAACAAGTGGTTTAAATGTGAAGAACTAATTGCTAAAGTCAAAGACTCAAAACATATTAAAAATTTTGTACTTTACAAGTTGGGTTGTAGCCGTTGGGCATACTATAATAGACAGAGTCATTGAAGTCGTCGTCTCCTTAAAAGTCAATTTATCTTCTTGTACACCCACGATTGAATATATAATAATAATAATGTCCTGTGGTAGTTAATTAGATATTAATCTAATGAGATAAATTAGTTTAATTGCAGTTGTAACCATGTTGGCATTCACCAGCTAACCCAAAGACCCCAAAATTATTTTAGAATGCAACTACTTGGATTCAGCTTGCCAGTTACACACACAAACACACATTTGTAGGTACATATGTATACGAAAGGTCGTTTTATATAAGAATTAGATACAAAATGTGTTTCTGATCTTAATAAATCCCATATAGGCTAGATTTAAAACATAATCGTAGATGTCTTTGAGCTGGAAATAGAAAAATGTGAAGCGCGTGGCTTTGAGACGCGGTTGATGCCGCGTCATGCCGTAAGGTCTTGAACGAGTCGTTGTAGACTGTGAAAGAAGAAACGGAGATATTTCAAACTTTACAGAGTAACAAGAAAACGACGATGATTCGTCAACGCCTTTATATATACACACACACGTTTCATGGCATATCTTTATCTCTCTCTGTCTCAACACTTTTCTATCTTCTCTCTGTTTCAGACCTAGCCATTGAAGCCTTTCTTCATTTCTTCTACCTGCAGATCGAGAAAATATGGCAGTAAGTTGGAACAAGTCGTCTTTTTGTATCTACAATTATGTTTTATCTTCCTCTCATCTCGGATCTTTATGTAAAAATAAAAACATGTTTATGACAAAACCATCACAGTTTGTCGGAATTTCCAGCTTGTCGTCGATCCGTTATTTTCACATGTTTCTTTTAAGTATTTTGTCTGATAATCAGAACAGAGATCTAGCTAGATTTGTTTAATTTCCGTTGACTTTGGTATATACGACAATGGTAACAACTGCGAAGATAGAGCTAGCTCTCTTGGTTTTGATTAGGATTCATCATATACGTATCGGTTTCTTGCATCTCAAGATTTAGCTTTTAGGTTATCTAAACTAGTCGAAACCCATTTGACTTGATTTGCAGAACCGTCCACACGTTCCAAAGTTTGGGGACTGGAACAATCAAGATCAACCATTCACGGTCGTCTTCGACAACGCGAGGATAAACAAACGACAAGACTTGTATGAATCTATAGAGAAACCGGAGACTAAACCTCAAGCAAAAGTTGCTCCTCCTCCTCAACCAGCTCCTAGAATTCAAAGACCGGAACCACCAAAACCGATTAGGGAGGACACGCCAAGAGCGCCTCCCTCGCAACCTGATAGAAACAAAGTCAGAGCTCCTCCGGCCGATCAACTATA